CGTTCTGGACTAACTGAAGTCTTCGAACACTCTTCAAGGGCAGCCCCATGTAGAGCGCGTTACAGTAATCCAATCTTTCCGCCACCCTCTTTCCCATTGCAGAGACAGGCACCGCGAACGCAGAATCAAAAAGCAGTGGAGAGCTGGAGTCGCTTACCCCTTCGACTGTACCGGCCAGCCCGCCGGCTGGGCTTGATACGCAGCCTCTTCAATCCTCTGCCTTGCTGGACAGCAGCTCTGTCCTACCCAGCTCCTTTACCTCTTTTGAACCAATCAAGTCCTTCCCCACAGAAAGTAAGTGCTCTGGGTTCTCAGCTATCGGGTGGGCGGTTGCGATGGATCAAAACAGACAGAACCGGTGGCTCTGACCCCTGCATCGTACTTCGATGGGCTGCTTTCCGTTCCAAAGTCATTGGGCATGCTTGACTTTGCTCCTTTGCTGGCTCCTTTTCTCAGAAGTCCTGATAAGAGGAATTGATCAATAACCAGGAGAAACGAGCTGTGTAGATTCAGTGTTTCCCAACCAGGACGACTCTTAAGTTGTGTGGACTTCAACTCCCAGAATTCCCCAGCCAGCATGAATTCTGGGACTTGATGTCCTCCACACAGCTTAAAAGTTGTAAAGTTGGGTGGGAAATAACTGGGGTAGACAGTGGAAATCTCAAGAGTGACATAAAAACAAGAACTCTTAGCAGACTGCGGTTTCTGGAATGGTATCTTGGCCTTTTTCCTACCTGGGATCCCGAATACGTTGGAATTATTGCTTCCAGAATTCCTATTCCGATGGGGGAATGGCAGCCCCAAAGGACTTCAGGTTGGAAACAGAGCTGGCCTGTGCCACAATAATTGCATTGGTCTTTAAGATGTGCAACGTTTGTTCTTTTTTTGTTTTCTTTTTCCAGTACTGGAATTTCCCAAAGAGCTTTCAGAAATGTTTGAGCCAACCAGAGGTGCGTTGCTAGTGTCCCTGTAGCAAACCTTGTTCGTGCTTTGCCTTTTTTTTTCTTTTTCTTTTGGAAGTTCAAAAAAAAAAAAGTCAGGCTATTTTAAGCAAACTTGAATCAGGCCCTCCCCTTGTAGAGTAGCAACAGAAGGAAGCACTTTTCTTGGCTTGCGTCTCCTGCGCTGGTTTTCTGCTTGTAAGGAAGACTTCTACCTGCTGAAAGATTATAAAACCTTTAAACCTGTTACTGAAAGGACATTTCATTTGGTTACCTGCGTAGACCAAATCCCCCGGGGGAAAGGAAGCAGTAGCTGCTAAATATGCATTGCTTTGATGTTGCTCGTGCAGGAGCCTGCAGAATCTGCCCAATTATTCACGTGACCCGTCAAAACCGCGGTCCACAAAAGCGCGATCGACGAAAGCGCGCATTTGACGTCATCACAGCGCGCCGAAAAAAATTA